TAGATGTATTGGCCTCGGAGCGGGGCCAAGATGGCGGAGTAGTCAGATGCTTCCGGTGGACCATCTTACAACAAAGACCCAAAAAAACAAATGATTCGATTATATATGGCAGTCTGGGAGCCCTGAACATCAAAGGCAGAGTTGAGGAGCTGGACTGAGTGGCAGGGGGAGAGAGAGAGAGAGACAGTTCAGAAGCAGCGAGGAGTTGCCAGATCTGACCCACTGAGAGCCTGAGCCCTTCAGGCCTGAGCAGCTCAGGGGTGAGTGGTAACGCAGGCAAGCAGCCATGCTCGGGAGCGCGTTTTCCACACTGGGAGAGACCCAGCCGCTCAGAGTCTACATGGCCACCCAGAACCAGTGAGAAGCAGCCCTCGATCCAGCAAAAGATAAGTAATTGTGTATGTTCAACTGCATGGATCAAAAACACCCCCTTAGGGAAAAACCTCTCTCCCATTTACCTCCCCACTCCCTGCTCTGCACTGGGTCCCGGACCAGCTTCAGCAATTGCTGAGTCCCCTGGGCCGGAAGCAGGATCCATCACGCCCAGAGCCATTCTCCCTGCCTTGGAGAGTGAACAAATTAACAAACAGCAAAAAATAAACTGCCAGCTCCCCTAAGCCAGGAACCTGGGGTAGGCACAGCTCCTTTGCCTAGGCACGGGCATAAGGGATCCACAGACTTTGAGCCTTTCCCCCTGCATAGATTTGTGTGGGCCCATTTCAACAGCGTAGGCCCTCATTACTGCAGTACAACAGGGTATATACCAGAACTCAAACTTCAGCAGTTTCAGCTGTGAAGTGGCAGGTTCTTGACATTTGACACTGCTCTGCCCATTAAGCAGGGTCTTCACCTACCCACAACAGGGGCCTGAGGACTGGTAGCTCCACTCACGCCACCTAGCCACCTGCGATAGGGCCTCATGAATAAGAGGTACCCCCCAGTCCTTACAGCCAACAGAATTAGGTGCTCATAGTCTAGCTGCAAAACCCATCCACTTACGTGCTCTAGGGAACAGGGACACGCCTTCCTCCTGGACACTCGGGGGTGGCTGTCAGCCCTCTGTCTTGCTCAGAGTGTGTCCCCCTGCTGCAGCCAAATGCCTGTGCCTACACATCACCCATGCCTGTCTAGGACTGTAAGTGAGAGCCTACACCACACACTTGGTGGCTATCTACCTGGGCACCTGAGCTGAATCCATACCAGAGGAGTGGGTGGACTCCTGAGCTCACATACCTAGTAACAGATCTAACCACCTGGTGATAGGACGTTAGAGCTTCAAAGGTGCCATTAATCAAACTAGTTTATACAAGCAGCCTATTTGGGAATATCAAAATAAAACAAGAAGCTAGGACACAGTAAGCAAACATTAAATAAATAAATATAATAACTTATTGATGGCTCGGAGACAACAGTCAATATCAAATCACATAAAGACGCAATCCATGATGGCTTCAGCAAGCTCCCAGAATAAAGCATCTAGAAATTTTCCAGAGGAGGAAAATTTTCCAGAGGAGGAAAATTTCTTGGAATTACTGGAGGCAGAATACAAAAGATTAATATACAGAACTCTTCAGTAAATTAAGCAAAACACAGAACATGCAATAGAGGAAATTAAAAAGATTAGAGAAGAGTATAATGACAAATTTAACAGGCTGCAAGAATCCACAGAGAGACAGCAATCAGAAATCCAGAAAATTAACAATAAAATTTCAGAATTAGACAACTCAATAGAAAGTCACAGGAACAGAATTGAGGCGATGGAAGTCTGAATCAGTGAGACTGAAAATAAAGATTTGACATCAACTTATTTGAGGAAAAATCAGATAAAAAGATTTTTAAAAATGAAGAAACTCTAAGAATTATGTGGGACTCTATCAAAAGGAATAACCTACGAGTGACTGGAGTACCAGAACAGGGGGGGATAACAGAAAATACACAGAGAATTGTCGAAGATTTGTTGGCAGAAAACTTCCCTGATATCGTGAAAGATGATAAAGATATCTATTCAAGATGCTCACTGAACCCCACATAAGGTAGATCCCAAAACAAAGTCACCAAGACATATTATAATCAAACTTGCCAAAACCAAAGATAAAGGGACAATTTTAAGAGCGGCTAGGGATAAACAAAAAGTCATCTACAAAGGAGAGTCAATAAGAAACGCTTGGACTACTCAGCAGAAACCATGCAGGCAAGAAGGCAATGGGATGACGTATATAAAGCCTTGAAGTAAAAAAACTGCCAGCCAAGAATTATATATCCAGCAAAACTGTCTTTCAAATATGATGGCAAAATTAGGGCATTTCCAGATAAACAGAAGTTTAGGGAATTTGCAAAAAACCAAACCAAAATTACAAGAAATACTAAAGGGAGTCCTCCGCTTAGAAAATCAGTAACATCAGATAACTACCCTAGACTAGAACACAGGACAGAGCAACCAGATATCAACCCAGATAGGGAAGTCACAAATGTAAACCAAAGTTAAAACACTGAAAATAGGGAAACAGATGTCAATATGTAAAAGCTGACAACATTAAAACAAAAAAGAGGGACTTAAAAAATGTACGCATAGATTTTTCATATAGAGAGGAAGTCAAGGCAATAAAAAGAAATAAAAGACTGGTATAAACTTAGAAAAATAGGGGTAAATATTAAGGTAACCACAAAGGAAGCTAACAATCCTACAAGTCAAAACAAAAAACTAGAAAAATATAAAGACTCAGCAAACACAAAATCAACAACAATGAAAAAGATGAAAAGAAAATA